AAACATGCTAGCCCTTTCAGCCGTGGGGGTGTTATAATGTGACGGTCAATCCCACTATTCGTTGGTAAAAGAGTAGCCCAAGAGTTGACGGAGGGTGATGATGACTATTTATCTTCCCTCTAGTCTTACACTGGTAAATGAGGGACGGCTAGCGCAGATAGCCCTCGTGTAGCTTTGCGCGAAACTCAAAACAAACAAACACACATAATACAGTCACCAAGATATATTTCATATAGTGACTAGCTGTTTAAGATGTCTATAATAAGTAGTTGCGTTACGTAGCAAATCTTCTTAACAATAGAGAAGTATATAAGGTAGAGAGTAAACAATTATCAACTATAGGTAAGTTGAGACCCTAATCTCCATAACAATGAGCTGAATTTCAATACATTTCAATCAGCCCTAAATTAGGGACGGCTAGCGCAGATAGCCCTCGTGTAGCTTTGCGCGAAATCCATAACAAACAAACTAATACATTAGTTATCTCCTAAGAACTGTAATTAGATTGAAAATCTAATTTTTGTTTTAATATGCTAAAATTATATAAATTGGTATTTATTACACGTTGTTTCGAAGGAAAAAAAAAACGCCTATTTTTTTTTCATTTCTGTCCCCCAGTTGGCACAGCGATATGTCTGCTAGAAACCGGGTTTCCATACCCGTGGTGGGCACAGAACAGATAGCCCATTGTGTAGCTTTGGGCTTAACTACAAACAAACAAACTTTTCATTTCTCCGTATTTTATTCATAATTTTAAAGTTCAGCCTTTTTAAATTAATTAAAATGTAACTCTTTTTTTTTTTCAGTCGATTTAGATTTTTTATCATTTCTTTAGGGCAAGCCCTCCAGTGGCACAGCGGCATGTCTGCGAACTTACAACGCTAGAATTCGGGTTTCGATACCCGTGGTGAGCAGAGCACAGATAACCCATTGTGTAACTTTGGGCATAACTTCAAACAAACAAGTATTTAGGGTAAAGAACTAGTAAAAAGATAGGAAACAACCACTCCACCCTTATGCAAAATCTTTTTTCTATCTACTATTTGTATATGACCCATCATTTTACATTCATTCTAATAAATTTTAAATTGTACTACCTATACTAGGTATATTTTTGTTGAGATACATTCATTTGAATTTTGCATAGTAATTATATAATACATAACTGGAAGACTTGTTTTTAATTTACATTTTAACGACAATAATGCATCGCTTATGTTAGCTTTTTATCCGGTCAGCTTGTCTTTCGAATTAATTTTTTTATTTAAGGTAGATTTCTCTTTTAATCAGATTAAATATTTGGAATTTGCTGAGAATGTTCCATATTCCTTTAAATACCTGGTATTTGTAGTTAGATTTCATATCATTTTTTAAGTAAACTGCTTGATTTTGTCCCTTCTTTGAACGTTTAAACAAACAAAGAAAAATATTGTTAGAGCTTTCACCTCTTTAAATCTACCGTGAGACTTAAAGAACATTAGAACAACTGACTTTATTTTTTGTTTGTAAATTTTAAGAATTAAATGATAATTTCTATTTTTCTTCAAGGTGGCGCTCATGTTGCATTACCTACCTATGGGTACTGGGTATCATCTCAGTCGGTCTGTCGCCGGTTTTTCTTTATGATCCCGGGTTCGATCTCCAGCAAGGGAAGAATTTGTAACTATGTGTGGAGGGTAAGATAATTAGGCGCACATCCAGTGTATACTGTGATTTCTTGGGATGCTCCCGTTCCCCCACGAATAAACAAACAAACAATCGTACATAAGTTTTTACCTTATATAAGAGCGTTGGAGAGTTGCTTTATTCCCTCTTTTTGTTTGTTCGCCCCCTCCCATCCCATTATTATGGCTTATAACGCTCAAAACCAGATTTCAACACATCGCCCATTGTGTAGCTTTGTGCTTAATAACAAACAAACAAACTTTTTTGTTCTTTTTACCTTTGGTTAAACCAATATTAGAATAATAAATATAATAAGGCTATACTTTTAATTTATTTTTTTAACCATGATTGCTTAAATAAGTTTATATTTTATGTTTTTGGAATCGATCCCAAACTGATGTGTTTATTCTGGAATTAACTCCATAAAATCTTACCTATATCCAGGTGTTATATGATCAAGCACGTAACGAATCAAGCACTTCCTGTAAATAAATAATGCTGTCTACGTTCTTGAATAGTATTAAAACCATTTTATTAACATTGAACACTTGATGCTAAAAATAATAATAATAATAAAATAGAAAAATATACAAAATAATAAGTAAATAATAAAGTAAAATGTAAGAGTGATTGCTGCCGGCCTGTTGCCTCCCTTGGTTGGTGTTTCGGAATTTGAGACGACGTTATGCTACGGAGCTGCGCACTGACAAACGTTTACGAAGGGACTCCATGAATGGAAGTAGGAGAGCCTATGCATTGTCTGATAGTAAACTTCTTTAGCGTGTAAATCAAATCATTAACTTGATAAAACTTAATACAATTAGCCTGTGCATTTTGGAAAATAAGTTTTATTGTTAAATTTATTCTAAGTTAGACGTAACGAAAACTTCATATCAGTCTTTAATTTCCCAGTTGACCAAAAAATAACTTAGAACGCAAAAAGCAATGCATTATAAGTGTTTTATTCTGGTATAACATATTTGACATTGTCGACGCTAGAAAAAAAATTAGAATAAAAAAAGACATTTACAGAATGAAATATTTTTGAAGTGCCACTTTTCGTGAACTAATGTTGAATGAACCAAATAAAACACAAAATATATTAAATCTTTGCCACAAAAAAACGTTTATACATTTTTTTTACTTTTCTTACAGCGCACGAACATTGTATTTTTTTTTAAATACTTACTTACGCCTAACTGCTTACAATTGAATTAAGCACTACTTCTGGTGAGCCTTTAACCTGCAATATCAGGCTGTTCAATGGCCGCACGTTAAGAAATTACGTCACCATTTGAATAATAAAAGCAGGGAGCACACCGTTAGCTAGTTGAAACTTAAGTTCGTTCTGGCCCCATCAGATTAAATTACAAGTTAGATTAATTCAATGTTTCTCAACCCTGATTAAGATAGCTCATAACTATGCAATAGAATAGACAGAAACAATTCTATCAGTAGTACCGAACACAAAACTGACGATTAAAATGTATTCATAGCTATTCTTTGTAATATGCATATCTTAGATTTGTTTAGAATAAAGGCTAAAGCCTAGAAAATAAATAAGTCTTATTCTTAGGTCTTATTAGTAAATGTAAAGATTTTTTGAAATGGATGTTCGAAAAGCTCTTAAATTTGAATAAATTAGTTGAAAATGTCTTTGTTTCTTATCTTTTTCTGTAGAAATAAACTGTCCAATTTACACCTTTATCCGATATAATAGCTTTAGAGTTTTTTGGTTCGTAAAACTAAAATGTCTGTACTTGTGTCAGAAAATATACAAAAAATGCTTTCATCTACTATTCTTGGCCCGGCATGGCCAGGTGGTTAGAGGACTCGACTCGCAATCTGCAGGTCGCAGGTTCGAATCCCCGTCACACCTAAACATGCTCACCCGGTGTCCGAACTACGACGCCAGGATACTTACCTCCAACAGAATTTGGAGGTGTGAGAAACACCATACGAAACAAAACATCCACTATTCTTTAAGCATAGGCGGCAAAATTGGAGGGGGGCTAAGGACTGTCCCCCTAAATAGGGAATATAGGCTTCTGTATAACTATCTGAAAGGTAGCTGTTTCAGTTTGGAGTTCAATAGTCAGGAACATAGCACATAATGTACCTCCAATCATCCCTGCCTCCCCCCAAAAAATATATTCCGCCGTTTATGTCTTTAAGTGAAACGTACTAACAAACATTAACGCCAACAACTTGAAATATACATATTTAAATAGTTTACCTCAAACAATGCTATTATAACGCCGGAACAAGCTATATATTTTTACTTTCCACCTATAAAGTTCATGAGAAAAGGTAGTAGATTTGCTTCATAATTAACGGTATGAGATTTTCTTTACCTTGTTCTAAGTTTAAGGTCGTTATACTCATCCATAATTAATTTATATTAAACTTCCATAGAGATATTTATCCGTTTAGTATCGTTAAGAATATTCGTATATTTAGAGTATATATGTCAAAGCAAACATGAACGTGTATATTGTTATAATTAAATATATTGTAATATAATTATACAGACCAACGTCACATTTGGTTGTTTAAAAAATCACACTCCGATAAAACACTAGACAACAGGGACCTTCAGATGAAGATATATACAAAATCACTTAGATATACAAAACTGTGAGCACCTAAACCCACATCTAAAAACAATTTATATAAATGGAGATTAACAGTTGTATCTTCTTTTAATTATCTCTGGTATCTGGAAGACTGGCAGCAAAGAATCAACAACAAACCAGGTCTGCATGCTAAAAGAACAAGTTATTTTATTGACATGGCTCTTATTTATATAGTTTTCCACATTATATACACATGTAAGTTTTAATACATGAAAAGATCAGTAGATTCACAATGTTGACTTAAACGCTGAAGAACGTTTTTATTTTTTACTAGGATGATTCACGATGTAATCAAACAGTTAAATATAAATTTCTTTTTAAAATATTGACCAAAGAAGAGTTATAAAATACCAGTTCAATTGTCAAAAAATACTCCAGACAAAGAACGACAGGAATAAAACGTGTAGCTTGCTATGCCTGGAAGCCGAACTTCCTGGGAATTCCCCATAAACAATAAAAACGAACACAGCTGATAGATTTGCACCGCGTGCGGCCACTTTCATGTTCGCGCCTTTGGCAAAGTTCGTGAGAAAACTGTCAACAATGTATTTATCTTATTCCGTTGAAGAAAGTTTACATTTTGACAAAAATATATTTATTTTAGTCAACTAACTGACACGCATGTTGTTTGCTAAATGATACAATAATGTAGTTGAATTAAGAATTAATGGAAATAACAAATATGTTAAATTATCATACCTTTGTGAATGCCTGTGAACTTGTCCTTTAACACTGTCAACTCAAATATTTTTCCGAATTGTTCAAAGAGCGGTCGTATGTCGTTCTCGTCTAGATTTCGAGGGATCTGTCCTATAAACAACTTAATCGCATCAGGGTTTTTGACTGGTATCGCTGACTCGTGATAGTTCTGCGATCGGTTTAGACGAGTGGCGGGCTCTAGCACTCCGATATGTAGTGTCGCCATGTTGGATGCCACGCAGTGTGCTGTTCGCCGTCTAGTACGCACTTGATCCGTGCTCTGACACGCATGCGCATCCAGTAAGATAACGCCAGCTGAAATTAGTCGTTGGCTAAAGTGATAAACTAAACTGCACTTAGTGTATTTGTTTAGTGTTTTTTTTCTTATTGGAATGAAAGTTGTAACAAAATATTTGTATATACAATACTTTTAAAAAACGACAATATATATAACACTTAATTACAGTTTTCGATCTTATTTTAACACTTTTAACACAATTTTCTATTGCAGTTAAATCCATGTTCAATACAATTTGTAGAACACCTAAAATAAATCCTTGGTCCCATTTTCTCGCATTTAGTCTATAGTAGGTACCTCTTTACAACTGTCTAAACGACTTTAATCTCATTATAAGAACATTATAACTTCAGAAAAGCATTTAGAATTGGAAATGCATTATAAGTTGTTCAATGATTTTACATTAATCTTGTTTCTATGGACATTTGTAATCAAACAGAAGATTATGAAATTACTAATTTTAGATTTTTAAAAAATGAAAGAATTTTACATGTCCCTATTTTGTCACGTGTATGAACATGATTATACGACGTTCGACTTAGATGATGGGCTTACTTACAAACAATAAGTGAATGCATGTTATTGTTATATGGCATGTGAGCATTTGGTTATCCATTCTTGAAACACTCATCGTCTCATACGCGTGTATTTATAATAACGTGTTCTAGTATAATAAACATACGCGTGTATTTATAATAACGTGTTCTAGTATAATAAACATATTACGACAAATTACTTATTCGTGTTAGTTATTTTTACATCTCGGGAATAACTTCTATGACTTCAGTGATATTTCATATAATTCACCCCAAAGAATTTTTAAATTTAAACCTCTAATATCATGTGCTGTGGTTTACGTTAAAAGTAGTCCTAATTTCGTATTATAACCGGCTAAATCAAGTTAGGCTTTATTTCAGTCCAATTACTTAACATAACTCTTTATCTGTATACTAACTTTCTCTCAGTATATAATACACAATCTACTTGCTTAATAACTGATTTCATTTGAACAACTAAAAGCCTCAGTGTTTTAAAGAAGAAAAAAAATGAACTAAATATAAAAACATTCGTTTCTACCAGAGTATGTATACTGCTAAGCATAATATTTTCTGTTTGTTATTTTAAACTATCTGTGTAATGAAATCTGTGTCCTTCCAGTACGAGTTTTCATGTGTGTATACTAGAATTACAATCTAAGCTGTGGTTTATCAGGCTTGTTGTGGTAGAAGTCTCCAAATTTTAACAGAAATGTATTATACATGTCATGATTAGATGAGGAGTAAATCTGTAATGAACTTCGTTGAAATGACTCTCGACAGTGTAGATGCGATGACTTTTTTCTTACTTTTTCTTACAATTTCATAAGCTCAAAGTACAATGTTAAAAATGTTCAAAGCTATAATACTATGTTTTCTCAGTTTTCCTAGAGTACAGGGATCCTTGCTTCTCTAGCTTTGGCTATATGCCATTAGACTTAAGAACAGGCACCGTTTAAAACATATTATATGTGATTTAAAAAATAAACTCTGTTTGAAAAGACATTTTTTCAACAGTAAAATCGTAAAGAAATTCACATCTTAGGGTTTCAAATAAGCAACTCTAATTCTGTGTTTTTTTTACTGCTTGAGAAAAACTTCTTTGCCTTCATTGTATAAGTTGTTTGGTCACTAGAACTCTAATATATTTAACGAAGTTTAGTGCCGTTTGAAAATAACTTCCAGTAGATGACATGATCTGAGCCACCTTAAAGGTGGTATATTACAAAAATATGTTTCGACGAAGCTGCCTGATAAAGGCATTTCATAACAGAACATTTTACCCAAAGGAAAACAAAGGAAGTATAATATTTGAAAAAATCACAGTTTTATAAAATTATTCTTGTAGCTGTTAGTTACAGTGACATATTTAACATTATTAGTTAAATATTAATGTTACCTACATCTAGTCCCCCAGTGGCATAGCGGCATGTCTGCGGACTTACAGCTCTAGAAACCGAGTTTCGATACCCGTGGTGGGCAGAACACAGATAGACATTTGCGGGGCTTTGTGCTTAACTAAAAATAAATCTGCATCTATTATACGATGATTTTTTCTAACTTTTACCACGGAGGTTGTATTTACTACTTCATTCATTAGTGTTACTTTTCATTTAATATACAGCCATGCGGTAATTATTACTTATAGCAATGTTTTTTTTTAATATGAGTCATTAAGTAATGTTACTCTTGTATAGCTATATTTGTATCTGTTACTTACTGCGATTAAATCGAGATTTATTCACTAATATGCCAAGAATAAAAGGGCTATAAAATATTATAGAACATTAAAATATAATGAATGTCAACATTTCTCTTTAACAAAATCTACGTATTTTACTTACAGAGCAATATAAATGACGATTTCATAGAACTTGTACTGTTTCATCAGATTTATTTCCTTACAAAATAGTATTTATCACTTCCTACCGAAGTAATTACAAGTAAAACATCAAGTGATTGTTTAGGGAGGATAATTATTCGAATTTATTTAGGGAAAAGCCACATAGTCTGCAGTGTTATTTTATTATGTAGGTAAAAAATATATACTTTGATAAAACACGTAGACTGTATTTGCACAATTTCTAGTATATCATAGAATTCTACTGCAAAAGTCCCCATGATAAAAATGAATCATCGGAGATATCATTCGTTTTAATTAGTTACTTCCTAAGTGTCTTTCTCAGTACGTAAATTTGCTACATACGTTTAGAATTAAAGTAGCGTCATATATATATAAATTAATATCGTGAAATACCAACGGTAAGCTGGGAAACCGGTGAAGGCTGAACATCCCTTCTGGAATGCATGAAAGAACCCTTGATGGTAAATTTTGAAAGAAATAGTTGAACTCTAAAAGCAAATGTTTGATTTTTTTTTCAAAGTTTATTAAAGGACTTGATTGGTCAATGCACTCTTAATTTTCTAAATATTCATATTCTACTTGAGTATTATTTTGAGAGCTAGCTAGTTAAAACATTGTTACTTTTAAAACAAATGTATTTTAGATATCAAATTAAGAGGAATAAATAATGAATAAATCGATTATCAATTTCTTTTTACTTCCTTTCATTAAAGATTCCCTATTGTTGTTACTTCTGAAGATAACATACTGGTATTTTACAGTGTATCTATCGTATATGAATTTTAACACTGCTTTATGACGCAGCTAAACATGTGACCATATTTCACTGTAGAAGTCTATATATATATATATATATATTACTTGTTGTTTACGGTAACTCTTAGATAGTTTGAGTAAAGCAACATACCAAGAAATATATGTTTTAATGATTAAATAAAAGAAATTTGTTGTTGATTGATAAAAAAGGTAGTTACTCCATTACAGTATAACATGTATTCGCCTTTGTTCCCTTTAATCATTAAATACGTTCACGACACATGAAATACTGGATAAACCCATCACACACAAAAATAGACATTATAATTTCAATAAATCATTATTTAGGAAATCCGATCACTCGAGCACTTTCGGAAGTGAAGTCTTTAGGGGCGACACTGTACGGCAGTAAACAAGTATCTTTTTTATGGCACCTCTCCTAAGATAGGGGCGACATTGTACGGCAGTAAACTAGTATTTTTATGGCACCTCTCCTACGATAGTGGCGATATTGTACGGTAGTAAACTAGTATTTTTATGGCACCTCTCCTACTATAGTGGCGACATTGTACGGCAGTAAACAAGTATCTTTTTCATGGCACCTCTCCTACAATAGGGGTGACATTGTACGGCAGTAAACCAGTGTTTTTCTGGCACCTCTCCTACGATAGTGGTGACATTGTACGGCAGTAAACTAGTATTTTTATATGGCATCTCTCCTACGATAGTGGTGACATTGCACGGCAGTAAACTAGTATTTTTATATGGCATCTCTCCTACG